GGAGTCCCTTTATTAGCTCCAACTTTGCGCCTAATGTCCTGGTTACCTTCTGGGCCAGAGAAAAACTCTGCCAGGAACAGCCTTTGGCTGCAGAGATTCAAGTCCAAAACATGGTCAACAAAAACTGTGTTGGGTATATTGATACACCAACTAGGTTTGGGTGAATAAATGTATAAACCTAGGTTTAAGTGTTTGTAGCTTTAAGCACCAAACTGCAATGTAATTAGATAATTAAGGGTGCGGTTGCAAGCTGCAATAAAAGGCAGTAGAGAGAAACGTAACCTTCCAGGTTACTGGTCTCTGGTCGCTGGTCTCTCTGCTGCCTACTGTTTACTCCTGTATGAGACGTCTGCTTGTTGGCTACTGTGCTGGATACCGTTTCTACTGAACAAAAGGACTGTTTACTTGGTGAGCTGATATCCTGTGCATACTCAGCGTTGTCTTCGAGAGAAAGGTATCGGAAGGAGAAGATAAAGACATTGTACTGACTAGTTAATGGACTAGGTTACTGGATGTATATATTGGATAATGACATATGGACTGATTGACAATGCTTAAACTCTAAATGAATTAAATAACTATTTAAAACTACAAACAGTGTTTTTGTCTCCAGTGTGTGTATACTCTTGGGCCCAGCCTCTCTCTCATTTGGCTGCCTGGCTTGACTGCTGCTGTGCACTCTGATTGGGGGTTTGTCCCCAAACACTAACAAACTGTAACTATAAGTCCAATCAGGACAAGATGAGGTAATTAGTCCGGCAGGGCAAGAGAAGGAATTCCAGATGTGAAGGAACGGCAGTAAATCAACCCGATTGGGAGGATGCCAAGAATGCAGATAACCAGTCAACACAAAATAAACTCACATTTGTTCCCAGTAGCTGCCATATCAGCTTACATCTCTCTTAAGCTCTCATTCCCAGGTGTGGCTAATGAAGGGAATCAGGGCCCTTTCCTCCCCCTTAAGCCACACAACCCACATTGTTCCCCTCTTCCTTCCTCCCTGCGTGTCCTAGGATGAAGAAGGGGTGGGCCTGGGTCTTCCTTTGAACTCCCTCTCCCTTGTTCTACCTCTTCCCTGCTCTGCCCAGTCAGACTTTGCCCTTCCCCAGTTTCCTTCACAGCCAACAGAGCTACACTTACACTCTGTCAGCTGTTCCTCTTCCTCCTCAGATTCAGACTCCAACAGGGGCATGACAGCATCTTTCATCATGCTTTACAATGCCATAAACAGCCATAGTGGCGCAGTGGTTAGAATGCAGTATTGCAGGTTACTTCTGCTGACTGCCAGCTGTCTGCAATTTGGCAGATCGATTCTTACCAGCTCAAGGTTGAGTCAGCCTTCCATCCTTCCGAGGTCGGTAAAAGGAGGACCCAGATTGTTCGGGGAAAGATGCTGACCCTGTACACCACTTAGAAAGGAGTGTAAAGCAGTGTGAAGTGGTCTAAGGGCTATTGCTATTTACTCTTCCTGGTCTCGTAAGATACTTCATTAGTGTTCTTCAGTTCCTGCTTTTTCAACAGTCTGTGTGGAAGTAGTTGCTCCTTTGTCTGTGTTCATCTACTTAATACATATTGCTGGGTTAGGAAAAATAGACCTCCTCACCCATCATCCTCTGCCTCTCGATATATGTCCCAAAGCAATCCAGTGAAAGAAGGAACAAAGGAAGATGAACCTTAGAATATATACGGTGGATTTTTTCATTTTGAAAATGATGCTATTTCTATGGTGCAGTTGATTAAAACTCAGTGATAAACACTAAAACACACTGACATTTCTAGTGCTTAAAGAATTTTATGATTGTTCCTTAATATGCAAGCAAAAACAAATACAAATGAGCAAAAGATCAGGCAGATAGTATCTAAATCATCATCCAAGTCAACAATTCTGTCCATTCCAAAGTGAATCCTACCACCTGAGTCCATGTCTTCAGTTGGGACAAAGATGTCAGGATTCCGGCAGTTGCCCTAATTAAACCATGATCCTTGAGCCAAACTTCAAAAACTTCAAAGGATTTATTAGGAGCGAACATGTTGGCATGACCTGTATGAAGCCGATTCTGAGGCACATAATTCACTATCACCCTGTTTCCCCCCACACACACCCCTCTGGGTGTATCATAATTCATGGTCTCCAATGAAACAAGTTCATAGTTACTTCTGCAATTAGGGATTTTCATGGCAGAAATTCCGGTAGCTTAGTTACAATCTTTGCAAGAGAAGAATGGAATGTACCTTTTGGTTTTAAACTGCCATACTGCTCCTTCAAATTCTCTCCCCGCCCCCAGTTCATGGCAATTCTAAAACAGGCATAGAAATGTTTTATGAGTTGACAGAAGATTTGATTGGGCCATGTGATGGACTGATGGATGCAGGGGATGTATCTTTGATTTTCTTTTGGGAAGGGAAAACCCGGAACTCTCTGATTCGGGTTTTGTTCTGACCCAAACCTGGTTCCAAGAGAGCAAACAAAGACAAAGGTAACAGCACACCCTTTTAATGTTTCATTTACGAATCCCGGTCCTTCACAGATAAAAGGCTGCTTCTAGCTAATTAGCTCTGATAAGAAAGAGCCTTGCTAAATTTTTGCAAGGCTGCCAAGAACACCAGATAAAGTTACTAAACAATAAAACAAAGAGTCTCCAAACACCAACTCAGATATTCCTAACGCCTGACATTTACAACCATTGAAGCATCCCCAAGGTCACGTGATAAAAATTCAGACACTTGGCAACTGACTCATATTTATGATGGTTGCACTGTCCTGAGGACAAGGGAACCCCTTTTTGCGACCTTCTGACAAGCCAAGTCCAGTCTGGGAAGCCAGATTCACTTAACAACCGTGTTACTCTCTTAACAACTGCAGTGATTCACTTAACAACTGTGGCAAGAAAGGTCACAAAATGGGGGAAAACTCACGGACTCATTTAGCAATGGAAAATTTGGGCTCAGTTGTGGTCATAAGTCGAGGACTACCTGTAATTGGACCGAGAAAGGAAAAAAAATAACGAGAAGCCCCATTTGGATCTTAAGAGAAGGGATTTTAAGTACTGAAAAACAAATATGTGAACATGGATAAGTCCAAAGTTAGGGTTAGGGCACAAATATGTGAACATGGATAAGTCCAAAGTTAGGGTTAGGGCAGGGTTCTAAAACCTAAGGCTCTGGAGCCACATGCGGCCCTTTTGGCCCTCTGCTACAGCTCCCTGTTGGCTGATCCCATCACTGGCTGGCCTCCCTGTCACTCCTCGCCTGGTCTGAGAAGGTAAGGGTGATGGCGGAAGATGGAGACTCGCTCCATATTCCAGAGCAGGAGGTGACTGGGTGAGAGTGAGTGATGTTGAGTTGGCCACGCCCACCCAGTCACACCGGTTGTTAAATTTTTGGCTCCCAGTGTTTTGTTTTCTGTGAGAAACGGGCCCAAATGGCTCTTGCAGTGTTTAAGGTTTTAGACCCCTGGGTTAGGGTGAAGGGTTGTCTAACAGTGCTGGCTGAGGATTTGATAGCTGAAATCCACACACCTTAAAAATTGTAGAGAAATACTGGGTTAATATTAGAAACAATCCACAGCTATTGTCACCTGTATCTCCCACCAAATCCTGCAATACTGTATTCTATTAACTCAGTTCATGAAAAACCACTCCACTTATTTTCCCATCAGATCATGAAGGAAATAAAAAAGTGTTGATGCACCATATAACATTCAAAGATATTTGGTTTGTACAGTTGATTAGATGCCAGATAGACAAGAAACACATAAGGCATGGGCAAATGCTTGGTATTTTCTTGTCTCTCATTAAAATATTTTTTTTTCAAAGTCTGACATTTACATGGCTTATCCCATGTGTGGAAGGAATCTTCTATGGCAGTAGTGGTTAACCTTTTGGGGCTCCTGTGACAAAAATTGGGTGCGTGCTTGCGCTTGCTCGCATGCCAGCACACAGAAGGCAATGCTCCCCCACTCTCTGCATGCGCGATCGACCCCCCGCTACCCCCTTACCTGCACTGCACATGCCTCCCAACTGATGTTTGGGCCTTTTTCGGCCTCCCAGAGGCTTGAGGGAAGACTCTGCAGTTTTTGGAGACCGAAAATGGGCCTATTTTGTCACTTCCATTATTTCCGGAAATACAGGAAGTGATGAAACGGGCCTGTTTTTTGGCCTCCAAAAGCTGCAGAGGCTTCCCTCAAGCCTCTGGGAGGCCACAAAAGGCCTGAAAATCAGCCGGGAGGTACGCGCATGCGCAGTGAGGTAAGTTTGCCTGGGGCTCGCGTACCATAGGTTCGCCATCACAGCTCTATTGGGAGTAAATTAGCACATATAAAACAATCGATTTCCATATAATATACGTTTCTAAGATTCATTCTGTTTAGAGCAGGCACGTCAAACTGGATTTCGTCAAGGGCTGGATCAGCACTGTAGTTCTCCTCTATGGGCCAGCCATGAGGGGAGGGAGATGGACTGGATGCTTCCTGCAGCACCCTGTCAGACAAAACGGGGTACAGATGGGGCCACACACAGCCCCTCGCACCCCGTTGTCTTTCTGCACAGCCTCCTGCAGCACTTTGCTGGCCAAAATGGGGCGCGGGGGGGACAGCGCGTGACCACCGTGCACCCTGTTTTCATCCTGGACAGCCTCCTGCATTACTTTGCCAGCCAAAATGAGGCATTCGGCCCTCATGCAGCCCATTTTGGCTGGCAAAATGCTGAAGGAGGCTGTCCAGGCCGAAAATGGGGCATGCAGGGGCCGGATGCACTTCCCCATGCCCCATTTTGTCTGCCAGAGGCACTGCGGGCTGGTCCTTTGCTATTTTCAGGCTGGCCCCATGGGCCAGATGTAAGCATCCCATGGGCCGTACCCTGCCTGTGGGCCTTGAGTTTGACACCCCTGGTTCAGAGCAAATTATGAGATCTTCCTACGTTTTGAAGCTCCCCTCGGTGTAAATTTGAAGACAGGATGACTGCTGTGACTGAGGACCTGTCCCCTTTGTCCAAAACATTAGCGCGGTTTATATCTCGTATGTACCCTTTTATGGGAAGTAAGATTATCATTCTTGCGGAAAGTCTTCCCACATTCCACGCAGGTATACGGCTTTTCACCGGTGTGAATTCTTTTATGAGAAATCAGGCTGCTACTCATAGTGAAACTCTTTCCGCACTCCGTGCATTTATACGGTTTCTCCCCTGTGTGGATCCTTTTATGAGTAGTGAGAGAACAGCTCTTCCGGAATTCCTTTCCACACTCCATGCATTTGTACGGTTTCTCCCCCGTGTGGATCCTCTTATGGGATGAAAGGCAACTGCTCCACCTGAAGCTTTTCCCACATTCTGTGCATTTATACGGCTTTTCACCTGAGTGGACCCTTTTGTGTTCACTCAGATTAGTGGCACTCCTGAAATTCTTCCCACACTCCGCGCATTGATACGGTTTCTCGCCGGAGTGGATCCTTTTATGGGAAGAAAAGGAACTCAGGTCAATGAAGCTCTTCCCACACTCTGTGCACACGTAGGGTTTCTCTCCCGAGTGCATCCTCTTATGGGAAGTCAGGTGACAGCTCCACCTGAACTTCCGTCCGCAGTCATCACAATTATAGGGTTTCTCCCCCGAGTGTATCCTTTTGTGGGAAGTAAGATGGCTGCTTAAAGTGAAGCTCTTCCCACATTCCGTGCATTGGTAAGGTTTCTCGCCCGAGTGGATCCTTTTATGAGAAACCAGGTGACTGCTCATAGTGAAGCTCTTCCCACACTCCATACATTTATACGGTTTCTCCCCAGAGTGGATCCTTTTATGGGACGTAAAAGAACTGAGACCACTGAAGCGCTTCCCGCACTCCGCGCATTTATAGGGTTTCTCCCCAGAATGCATCCTTTTGTGGGAAGTGAAGGAACTGAAACCACTGAAGCACTTCCCGCACTCGGCACATTTGTAGGGTTTTTCCCCAGAATGCATCCTTTTGTGGGAAGTGAAGGAACTCAGGCCGCTGAAGCTCTTTCCACACTCCGTGCATTGATAGGGTTTCTCTCCCGAATGGATCCTCTTATGGTAGGTGAGCCCGCTACTCCACCTGAACATCTTTCCACACTCCATGCACTGATACAGTTTCTCGCCTGTGTGGATCCTTTTATGGGCATTAAGATTACTGCTCTTGCTGAAGGTTTTCCCGCACTCTGTGCAAGGATATGTTTTTTCTCCGGTTTTGGTTGTTTGATGTAAGGTATGAAGGAGGGGCCCATTGTAATTTTGTCCACGCTCCCCAAACTTGTATTGTTTTGCTTTATTGTGCGTTCTACAGTATTCGCAGAAATCTGAATTTCCTCTACATGTTTTTCCACAGGCGAGACACTTTGTTTCTTTTTCGTGTCCTTGCTGGCCAAGATAAAAATGGTTTTCGGCCCACTGAGGAGTACAAGATTTTGCTCTTCTCTTGTTTAATTGGTTGCGTTCGGGTGTTTCTGGTCCCTGTGGATTTTCAAACATCCCTTCCCCAATGTCGTTTCTGACTGTTTGTGATTGTTTCACAGATGTCTGTTTATAATATGCACTCTCTGGCCATCCAACTCCTTGGGACAAAAAAGAAAGAAAAATACGTATTACACCTTTAAAGCAGACAAGGTAAAAGCCAGAAGACTCAAAACCAGGAAGCTCCCAC